TTACTTACTTACTTACTTACTTAAAGGGGAACACACACAAGAACTGGTAGAAAACTGGAAGCGGAGACTTCTGACCAAGGTCGCAAAAGGATTTTGTGTCATTATCATTTGAAAACAGAAAACACATTTGCTTAACAATAAATGGCTTCAACCAACCAGCGAAATACGGTCAATGAAAAGTCTGGCTGTTGTGAAGCCTGTACGTGAATTGGAAAAATCTGGAAAGTCTTAGGCTGCAGCCGGAGCTCAGGTCATTGGGGTTTGGTAGTGTTTGGGTCAGTCTCCTTGGCGTTGGGCAGATGAGCTCACTTCTCCGTCACTTCCTGGGCTCTCAGCGCAGGCCAGAACCTCTGGGGCAGCTGTAAAAGTTGCCCCAGGTCATGTGACTCAGCGTCACCCTGAGGTAGAGGAGCTTCACGTGTTTGTTCTGAGACCAGTGTGAACAGAGCGACGCATTTGGAGGAGCTCTGTGAGAAAACTCCACCCACGCCTCTGACAGGAGAGACACAAGCGCTTTTTGGAACAAAAATCCTATTTATTCAAGTTCTTAACCGTTACAATATTGTTCCTGGCCCTGGAATTGTTTTGCGCTCCATACTCGCTCATACGTTCAGACCAGTCAAACTATTTCTACCTCACGGACAGTCGTCGACTGCCTTCAAAGACGAGTTTACCTTCATTGACCTTTATTTAACCCCTGAGAGAGGGAAGCTATTGCACATGTTTTAGTGGTCGGGAAAACCGGTGCACCTGGAGGAAACCTACACACACACAGGGAGATCATGCAATCACATGCAAAAATAGTGTATTTACACGCCTGTACTTCTGCATGGAGTACTTACATATGTATATTGTATCCATGCATATGTTTGGACAGTCTTGTACTCAAGCAGAGCTGCTCAAGAGCTCCTCTGGTCAGAGAGCTCCTCTGGTCAGGATGACAGTGACCGAAACACACTTTCTTCAAGCTGAATGTTGATGATTTTTCCTAACTTGAGCAGACCCAGAATTATTCTTCTTTAACTTTGAATCACTGTGGGGGGTCATTTCAACCTGAGGATAGCACAACGTTTATTCTCTGAGTCAGAGGAAGCAAGTGCAGAGACCTGAGACTGGACTATTCTTGGATGTTATTTAGTTATAGTCTCATTTCTGCTTTACACATCCTCTGTTCAGACTGAAAGCTGAGAGGTTTTATCTGGACTCTCTCTTTAGTAATAAATACACTGTGGATATTGTTTCATATGTTTTGATTTGTTTGACTTGATTCTTCTGTGTTTGCCAAAGCAGGCTCTCCTTGTGTATGAATGGTGCTGTGTGCAGAGGAGGTGCAGGATGTGATCTCAGCCGAGCAGGAAGCGTCTCTATGTGACATCATTCTCAACAAACAAACGTCTCTGATGATGGATGTGACAGCGGTGGAGCCAGTGTCCGAGAGAATAGGGACGCAGAAACAACAATTCCAGATTGGTGTCCTCTTGTGGCCAGGACTCTCCCACTACTACACGCGTATCTCTTCTACATTACTGCATCAAACAGCTTCAGCTTCAGCTTGTGCCACAACCCTCCTCCTCCTCCCAAACACCTTCTCAACAAGACTTTTCTGCATCACATTCTCTATACGGGGACTCTGCACGGTGGCTGAGTGGATAGCACACTCGCTTCTCAGCAAGAAGGTCCTAGATTTGAATCCCGGTCGGAACAGGGCCTTTCTGAGTGGAGTTTGCATGTTCTCCCCATGTCTGCGTAGGTTTCCTCCGAGTGCTCCGGTTTCCCCTACCACTATAAACATGCACAATAGGTATGAATGTAGAGGAGAGAGTGAATGGGTGGTGCTGGTTGGGGCTTTGATGCGCCAGTGTGTTCAGCGACTCGCTTCCGTCATCACTGTGTGTGGAGAGAATGGAAAAACTATATGAAGGGCTTTGGATGACCTTGGTCTGTAAAAAATGGGTTTAGTCTTTTGGCCGAGGCCTTTTAAGCGTCTGAAGAACCACCACAAACCAGTATCCACAGAAAATGTTTGGTAACCATGGCTTCCAACAGCATTCTGGCCAATCACTGTTAATTAGGACACTTTAGCTCGGCCTGGATAGAACCAGGGTCAAGCAGGTACTAAAAAAGTACCAGTTAAACAGGGCCAGGGAAACTGCTTCCAAAGAAGGTATATAGTTGAGTATATAGTGGTAAATTCTTCTCTTGGCATACAAAGCCATAAATGGCTTGGCTCCCTCTTATCTCCAAGACATGTTAATGTCTTATCAATCAAGCCGAGCGCTGCGCTTGCAAAACGCCAGACGTCTGGTGGTCCCTAAGGTTTCAAAAAGCACTGTCGGCGGCAGAGCATTTAGCTACCAAGCCTCTTTACTGTGGAATCCGCTCCCCTCGCACGTTAAGGAAGCAGACACTGTCTCTACATTTAAGGCCAGGCCTAAAACACTCTTTTTCAACATAGCATTTGGTTAGGTTGTTGTCCGGTCAGGTTTCGTCCGGTCTTGGAGTCTGCGTATGTGGGACCCGGTCCGCTGCATCTACAACCCTACTTTCTAGGCTAAGCTAAAACAGTCCTCTTTAGTTTAGCATATGGCTAGGAAGGTAAGGCTCAGGGAAGGCTAAACTCCTCAGAGTGTCAGTCAAGCTGCATAGGGAGTCAGTTTGCTGGGAGAAGTATGGTAACTTGAGCACTATCCTCTTCTCCTTCCTACTTTACCTGTTTAGCATTATTAGGATCATGACTGTAGTCTGTTCATTGCTATTCACCCGTTGTCCCATTGTTTGTTCCATGGTACGATGACGGGACCTCTGAGCCTGGCCTCCTCCATCTACACCTGCGGACTGCCCCGCCCGACCCGCCTGGGAGCGCTTCAGTCCTGCACCGGACCTGCCCACGTTCAGCGGCCACTGGTCCACGTTCTGTAGCTTAGGTCCTGGATCGATTGCCCGTCCCTCCGTGGGAGCAGGTCCCTTTCTCAACTGTGGGTCTCCCCGAGGTTTCTCACTTTTTCCCACTGGGTTTTCTTATGAGTTTTTCAGTTAGTGTCCAACTACAAGGATGTGATCATGATCCAGGACACTTTAACATTCTACAACATGTTTGGACATTTTTCAACATGTGTTCTATATGTGTTTTAACTGTTGATTCTCTGATCTGTGTTGGTGATTTTAATGGTTTTCTTAAGTCCTCTGAGATGACTTCTGTTGTGATTTAGGGCTATGCAAGAATAAATTGTATTGTATTGTATTGTATAGAGTAGGGCCATGTAGGGCTGGTGAAAAAGGATCTATAATGTTGTGAAATGGTGAAAGCTAAAGAAAAAAATTGCAAAACATTTGTCCTTAAACAGACATAATTTTATTCTGTTTTTTGTGTGAACTTGAAACATCATCTTGAGTTGATTTTTGTACATAATCATAAGACAATTATACACAAGATACACAAACACAGCGAAGATGGTACAACACCTCTGTTTAAACGCTGCTACACAAACACACACAAAAAAGGATTCAGAAGTGGAATGTTGTTGGGTCAAAATGATATAGTTTAAAAAGTTACAAAAATGGCTTCTTCTTTGTGAGTAGAGGACAATTCGTCCCATTATTCTTAAAAAGCCCTTAAAATTCAACACGTTTGGAATGTTTCATGAAGAGAGTGAGTTCTAAGCTGGAAGGTCCAAGGACAGTGATGATCAGTGACATTTAATGACAACATGAATGAGAGACTAGAGAGAGAGAGACCAGAGAAGGAAAGGCCTGAGAGAGACCAGAGAGAGACCAGAGAGGGACCAAAGAGAGACCAAAGAGAGACCAAAGAGAGAGACCAGAGAGAGACCAGAGAGGGACCAGAGAGACCAAAGAGAGACCAAAGAGAGACCAAAGAGAGAGACCAGAGAGAGACTAGAGAGAGACCAGAGAGAGACCAAAGAGAGAGACCAGAGAAAGACCAGAGAGTGACCAAAGAGAGAGACCATAGAGAGAGACCAGAGAGGGAAAGGCCCGAGAGAGACCAGAGAGACCAGAGAGGGAAAGGCCTGAGAGAGACCAGAGAGAGACTAGAGAGAGACCAGAGAGTGACCAAAGAGAGAGACCAGAGAGAGAGACCAGAGAAGGAAAGGCCTGAGAGAGACCAGAGAGAGACCAGAGATAGACCAGAGACCAGAGAGAGATCAAAGAGAGAGACCAGAGAAGGAAAGACCAGAAAGAGACCAGAAAGAGACCCGAGAGACACCAGAGAGAGATCAAAGAAAAAGACGATACTTGATATGTGCTGACAAAAAAAATTGTCATGTGGATTATAGAGAAATTAGCTCGACACCAAGACTAGAATCTGACTGTTGATACATACCATAGTTACCATAGTTACCCGGAGAGATGTTGTCGCTGCCCTCCATCACAATGTAAAATTATAGGCCCTTTGGGACGTTGTGATGTCACATGAACGCACCCTATTTGTTGGATGTCTCGGTGAGTTGCAGTGGGGAGTGAAATGTGCTGTTCCAAACCCTCTGGTGTGCAGCCAACAACACATTTATAAGGCAAAGAAACCATTACAACAACATGAAAGCTGGGGTACCTAACTTTCAAACCGCAAAAATGTTCTTACGGAGTCATAAAATTAATGTCTATAGTTCTCGGCTCTAAAAAAAAATGTCATAATATTCCGTTTATTTTTGTTTAGCCCCAAATCACAGCAGTATCAGAGAATCAATCAGATCCGAGTAGAGTAGAGTAGAGCCGAGCAGAGCAGAGCAGAGCCAGTAGGGCTGGTGGAAACGGGGCTTTGGCAGTACACATTCTAAAAGATGAAAAGCCATTATTCTCAAGAATCCAACACGATTAAGACTCTCCTTTTAGATTTGCTAGCTACCCCGGCTTGAATGACAGACAATACGCAGAAACACTTAGAAAAATTGTGCTGCAACTTTGGCGATAGAAATAAATACACATTATCAAGAATCAAAGCGATAATAAATAACAAAAGGTATAAAAATGTTTGTGGAGACTCATTTCCGTCTCCGTTTGTCTAATGCCGGCTCTCCGCTCGCTCTGCTCACAAAGACAGCAGGTGGCGCCATTTCAAACCTCAAGTCCCCAGCGCTCCGGTTGGCCCTGTCCTTCCTCTTAGTCCTGGGCAGGGGGGAGGGCAGGGAGAAGGACAGGGGGGGTCTGTGGTTGGAGGTAGAGCCCAGTTTGGCCAGAGCCACCGGGATCTCCTCCAGGGATTCTGCCGAGTCGGAGTGGTAGTCTGAAGGCGGGGCGGCGGCGGTGACGGGGCCCGGGGCCAGAGTGGTGGAGGAGGTCAGGGGGGGAAGAGAGGCCCGATGGGGGAAGGGAAAGGGCAGACGCTGGGACAGGTAACCGGCCGAGAGGGAGGAGAGCTCTGTGGAGACAGGGGAGAAGAGGATCAAAACGTGTGGACGGAACAGGAAATAATAATAATAATTATTATTATTATTGTTTTATAATAATTCATTTTATTTATACATTTATTGCATATACTAAAGCTTAATGGAAACACAACCAAGCAGGATAGAGCCCAGTAGAGTAGAGTAGAGTAGAGTCTTTTTCCAGGCTACGGAGGGGTGAAAGAAGGGAGACAAAGGGAGAGCAGAGAGTAGAGTAGAGTAGAGTAGAGTAGAGTAGAGCAGAGCAGAGCAGAACAGAGCAGAGTAGTAGAGTAGAGTAGAGTAGAGTAGAGTAGAGTAGAGTAGAGTAGAGCAGAACAGAGCAGAGTAGTAGAGTAGAGCAGAGTAGAGTAGAGTAGAGTAGAGTAGAGTAGAGTAGAGTAGAGCAGAGCAGAGTAGAGTAGAGTAGAGCAGAGTAGAGTTGTAGAGTAGAGTAGAGTAGAGTAGAGTAGAGTAGAGCAGAGCAGAGCAGAGTAGTAGAGTAGAGTAGAGTAGAGCAGAACAGAGCAGAGTAGTAGAGTAGAGCAGAGTAGAGTTGTAGAGTAGAGTAGAGTAGAGTAGAGTAGAGTAGAGTAGAGTACAGAGAGAGTAGTAGAGTAGAGTAGGGCAGAGTAGAGTTGTAGAGTAGAGTAGAGTAGAGTAGAGTAGAGTAGTGTAGAGTAGAGTAGAGTAGAGTAGAGTATGAGCAGGTAGGTCTGGTGGAAACAGGGTTTTTACAGTACACATTCCCAAACATTCTCAAGAGCATCTAAACAGAACTAAGTGAAACTCGTACCTGGCGGGACCGCGCTCCGAGGCCTCTCTCCCGACGCTTCCACTGCCACATTACGCACCTTCTTTTTCCTTTTCTGCAAAGACAAATAAATCATGAGCTATAATGTAAAACAGCATCTAAAACCGATCACAATCATAATATTCTTTTTACATTGTGGATGGAAACATGAGCTGAACCTGGTAAAATACACAACACATTCATCAACGTAGACTGTCCAGTTTAAATAAATCAATACATGACGTGTGTGAAAATTAGTGTCAAATTTTAAAGACTTATTTCCGGACTATAAACTTTTTTACATGTTAAATTTGGCATAGATAGAATCACTCAGGTTATGCAAAAAGATTATTTGATCCCTGCGGCTTATATAGCAATGTGGCTAGTAAATGTAAGTTTATTGTGGTCAGAGCAGAGTTTATGGACTTATTTTTTTGACTCCATCAAGTTTGAGTAGCTTTAGGACACTAGATGTAGTGTCCTCAATAGATGAGGAGGATTCTTCCAGCAACTCTAGTTTACGACAAGCCTTCATAGTTGAATTCCATGTATTTGCCTCAAAGCCAATCAGAATTGTTCAAAAATGGTTGCGAGGTTAGCCGATTGGGGGCATGATTGGTCGGTTATGATAGTGGATTTCCAAAGACCTTCTGAGCATAAATGAAATGTAAAATATTTAAATGACCTGAGTTCTTCTTTGTGGAGAAACTGCTGTCACTTCAGTCGGAGGAGGCGGGACTTCCTCTTCAACCACAGGAGCAGAAGCACTCCGGATCCTGCCGTTGGCCACGTACCTGCACAACAAAAATCTCAGGTCTATACTCAAGAAGAAGGCCTGGACCAAACAGACCAAGACCAGACCAAAGAAGAGGCCAAAAATGTGCTTGTGCATGGAAGACGAGAACTTAAAAGAAAGATGTCAAACCCAGTGAATGTCGTCAGGAACCAAGAAATCAAAACAATCCAAATGTGTGTGTACGTAAAAATTACAGCTTCAATCATTATGCGTGAACACTGGTTATAACCTCAAAATCAGACTGTACAAGGAACTCTCTGACTCAACCAACTTGGAATCTGAGGAGCACAGGGACTGGCCTCCTGCTGGTGCCCAGAATCAGGACTAAACATGCGGCGTCAAAACATATCCCTATGAAATCAGAGTAATGTCTTTCTCTCCTGCTGTAGCACTGAACCCTGGAGGATTTTCAGAAGTCCTCTTTCAGGAATGTGGTGGGTGCATCGTGTTGTGGCTGCAGAGGCCGTTTCCAAGGAGACGAGGCACCAAACAGTCCGAGGGCCGATTGCAACTGGGACTTTAATCAGGAGATATTATGTGAAGTATTGTACTGTGTTGGAAGAGAGTTAAGTAAGAAACCAGAGCGAGACCTGAACCGGTCCAAAACAAGACAAGACCCAGGATCCATTTAAGAACTAGCTACGTTTTCGTAACTGACTTTGTTTACGACTGGTCAAGATTAAGAGTTATTTAAGTTAGAGTTTACAATACAAGATACAAGATTCAATTATTAAATTGATTTATAATGTATAGCCGTTTTGTTTAAGGGTCCGGAGGATAAATGTTACAACCTAAAAATTGTTACAGATTATGCACTGTCACTTTGCAGTTTATACCGGTAAATCTTTTTTAGTAATGTTTGATTTTCCTTATAATCTCGTTTCACTTCATGAGGTCAAGAACGACAAGAAATTACATTTGAATGCTGCATTAGATCCACAGCCTCAGTCCTGGATCTACAGCCTCAGTCCTTGATCTACAGCCTCAGTCCTGGATCCACAGCCTCAGTCCTGGATCTACAGCCTCAGTCCTGGATCCACAGCCTCAGTCCTGGATCCACAGCCTCAGTCCTGGATCTACAGCCTCAGTCCTGGATCTACAGCCTCAGTCCTGGGTCTACAGCCTCAGTCCTGGATCTACAGCCTCAGTCCTTGATCTACAGCCTCAGTCCTGGATCCACAGCCTCAATCCTGGATCCACAGCCTCAGTCCTGGATCTACAGCCTCAGTCCTGGATCTACAGCCTCAGTCCTGGATCCACAGCCTCAGTCCTGGATCTACAGCCTCAGTCCTGAATCTACAGCCTCAGTCCTGGATCCACAGCCTCAGTCCTGGATCTACAGCCTCAGTCCTGGATCTACAGCCTCAGTCCTGGATCTACAGCCTCAGTCCTGGATCCACAGCCTCAGTCCTGGATCCACAGCCTCAGTCCTGGATCTACAGCCTCAGTCCTGAATCTACAGCCTCAGTCCTGGATCCACAGCCTCAGTCCTGGATCCACAGCCTCAGTCCTGGATCTACAGCCTCAGTCCTGGATCCACAGCCTCAGTCCTGGATCTACAGCCTCAGTCCTGAATCTACAGCCTCAGTCCTGGATCCACAGCCTCAGTCCTGGATCTACAGCGTCAGTCCTGGATCTACAGCGTCAGTCCTGGATCCACAGCCTCAGTCCTGGATCTACAGCGTCAGTCCTGGATCTACAGCCTCAGTCCTGGATCCACAGCCTCAGTCCTGGATCCACAGCCTCAGTCCTGGATCTACAGCCTCAGTCCTGGATCTACAGCCTCAGTCCTGGATCTACAGCCTCAGTCCTGGGTCTACAGCCTCAGTCCTGGATCTACAGCCTCAGTCCTTGATCTACAGCCTCAGTCCTGGATCCACAGCCTCAGTCCTGGATCTACAGCCTCAGTCCTGGATCTACAGCCTCAGTCCTGGGTCTACAGCCTCAGTCCTGGATCTACAGCCTCAGTCCTTGATCTACAGCCTCAGTCCTGGATCCACAGCCTCAGTCCTGGATCCACAGCCTCAGTCCTGGATCTACAGCCTCAGTCCTGGATCTACAGCCTCAGTCCTGGATCCACAGCCTCAGTTCTGGATCTACAGCCTCAGTCCTGAATCTACAGCCTCAGTCCTGGATCCACAGCCTCAGTCCTGGATCCACAGCCTCAGTCCTGGATCTACAGCCTCAGTCCTGGATCTACAGCCTCAGTCCTGGATCCACAGCCTCAGTCCTGGATCTACAGCCTCAGTCCTGAATCTACAGCCTCAGTCCTGGATCCACAGCCTCAGTCCTGGATCCACAGCCTCAGTCCTGGATCTACAGCCTCAGTCCTGGATCTACAGCCTCAGTCCTGGATCCACAGCCTCAGTCCTGGATCTACAGCCTCAGTCCTGGGTCTACAGCCTCAGTCCTGGATCCACAGCCTCAGTCCTGGATCTACAGCCTCAGTCCTGGATCTACAGCCTCAGTCCTGGATCCACAGCCTCAGTTCTGGATCTACAGCCTCAGTCCTGAATCTACAGCCTCAGTCCTGGATCCACAGCCTCAGTCCTGGATCCACAGCCTCAGTCCTGGATCTACAGCCTCAGTCCTGGATCTACAGCCTCAGTCCTGGATCCACAGCCTCAGTCCTGGATCTACAGCCTCAGTCCTGAATCTACAGCCTCAGTCCTGGATCCACAGCCTCAGTCCTGGATCTACAGCGTCAGTCCTGGATCTACAGCCTCAAGGTTTTTAGTGGTTTTTAGTGGCCAATGTAGGAAGATGATTCTATGTGTTTGATTCTCTGATCTGTTGTTGGTGAAGCTTTGTAAAGTCTTCCGAAACGACTGCTTTTGTGAGTTAGGGCGATGCACAAATACATCTCATTGAAAGCTGTTGGTTCTTGCTGCACTGACACCTGGAGCATGTTCCTCAGCAGACGACATGCAGCTTTGATTGTGAGAAAGATCTATTTTTACCTCTGTGTGAATGTGTAATTATCACAGCACCATCTGCTGAGGACAGGTCTATACCCACGAAGAAGGCCTGGACCATGAAGCAAACCCAAGACAAGACCAAGACCTAGAACCATTCTGGACCAAAACCAGACCAAGACCTCACCCAGAACCAGACTTAGACCCAGATGAAGACCAGATCCAGGACCTGAGCTAGACCTCGACCAAGACCCGACCAGACCCAATATCTGACCTAGAACAGTCCTACTCCAATACCAGTCCAAGACCAAAACCAGATTAAATGTGAACTATGAATTATGAAAACATAATAATAATAATTGATCAACATAAAAAAGAAAATCGGCCCATAAAAAAAATAAAATAAAATCATCATCTCATTAGAAAACGTGTCATCATATGCGTAAGAAAGAGCCCTTTGCGTCACTATTTGACTCAAAGGGCTGAGAGCTAGTTGTCTCTTTTTCACTTTGGCCCAGAATGCTGCTGGAAACCAAATAATGTCAATGAATACTAGTTTTTTGCAGGCAGGATACAATACCAAGATACCGTAATAGAAACGCAACAAGATTAACTTGCGAATCAGCACTCGGATAAGATGTAGGTCTAAAATAGGAGGTACCGTTATTTCCGGTCTATAAGCCGCTACTTCTTTTCTTTGAACGCTGCAGCTTGTATAGATATGTGGCTAATATGTGTGTTTTTATTGTGGTAAAGTTGTTGGAACAGAGTTTATGGACTTCTTACTTTGACTCCATCAAGTTTTGGTAGCTACAGGACACTTCTTTAATTGTTAAAATAGATTGATGAATGAGTCATGGAGGCTAACGGTGAAGCTGTTAAAAACCTTGCCGTTAAATCATGTTGTGTGGAGTTAAAACAGTTTTCTCTCTACTACATTACCACATGAAAACTTGCGGCTTATATTCCAGTGTGGCCTATATGTGCACAACATAGATTTTCTTTTCAGAGTATACAGGTCCTCTTTATATTCCAGAAAGTACAGTAATGGTCCGTACTCAGTGTCTCCTCTGGGTGGCAGTGTGCTGGCCTCCTCCACCTCCATCTGGGTGTTGGTGTAGCCCAGAGCCCCGGTGTAGCTCACCTCCTGCGGAGACAGACACATGACACTTCATCCAGACCAAGACCTAACCTGGACCAAAACAAGACCAAGACCTAACCCAGACCAAACCCTGACTCAGAATAAGACCTGACCAAAACTAGAGCCAACTAGACTAGACCCATCAATAAAAGGAAATAAATAAAAAACATAACAATTATTGTATGTAAATGCTAGTATTTTAGTTCCATCTATGCACAGTGTATGGGGAAGTATAGTAAAAAGGTGAATAGCATAGATACCTTGATGATGTTGAGAGAGGGCAGGGTGGGCTCCTTCGGGGGGGCTTTCCTCGCCTCTCGCGGGTGTAGGCGGTGACGCTGGCGTATGATGTATTCATATGTGCTCAGTCTGTTCCACACTGCAGGACAAACACAACAAACATAGAACAATACTTTCTCCCGCTGGAAAATATTTTTGAACTCTGATTAAAGTGGCCTGTCCTGACTCGAACCCCATTGAGACTCTGTGGCATGACCTAAAGAAAGTGATTTATCCCAGGAATCTGACTGAACTGCAGAAGTTTTGTAAAGAGGAATGGTCAAAAATGGTTTGTGGTTGATGTGCCAGACGGATCTGCAACTATAGGAAGCGTCTGGTTGAAGTTATTGCAGCCAAAGCTCTTCAAATAATCAATGACTCTTCTGGCCATTCTGGAAAAGCCATGTTCCAGCTTCTTCCCTCTGGTGAAAGATATTGTTGTGAAAATGTAGTGACAATTGTTTCTTGTACTTTTTTTTTATCTTGTTTTATTTACATACTTGTCTACTTAAGTAGGCAGTTCTCCTTCTGTCATTGTTTGCTTGTAATCCTCATCAAAAATATGAAAACATATGAATGTCTGGGAGTTTTTAGTTAAAGCAGACACTGTCTTTTCATGTTGTGATCTTGAGAACAATTAGATTGCATTCAATGGTCCACACAAACACAAACATACACTTATACCCAGGCATAAACACAAGTACACATACAAATACACACAGCACTCATGCACTATCAGAAACAAACATATACACGCATGCATGTGTACCCACTTCGACACACACACACAACACACCGCGCACAACACACTACACGCACACACACACAACACACCGCACACTACACACAACACACACCTAATTGAAAAACGATGTAAATATGAAAATGTAATTGGGGTAAGCTCACACAAGTATTTTACTTCGGCTTACTCCCTTTGAGCTGTGTCTACTTTTTCTTGAAATGTTTTCCTATTGGATTGTTTTTTGTTTTGTATGACCTGCTCAAATAAATTGATTGATTGATTGAATGGTGATCTTCTACAGAAATGTTCATAAAGCTTCAGGCCACTGTAGATCCAGGTTTACTGTTTAGGTCAAAGATTTTTTTAAATCTGATTTAATGATCAAAAACCTAAACCAGAAATAAGAAATTAACACCCATTGTGGACTGAATTCCCTAAAGTAGATTGTGAGGTGTTTAAGGCTTATAATGAAGACTTCAGAATGTTTTTAAAGACTGTGGAAATACCCTGTAACTATTAGATGTGGGTCTTACTGAGGTAAATATGGAAGCCCAGCAGGTGACAGAGCAGCACACAGGAGAGGAGGCCCAGGGCGATAGTGACGGCTGCCAAACCCGGGATCACAGCTCCCACGGAGACAACCGGGGCCACGGGCAAGAAGAGGAACCACACCGCGGACTCGTTACGCACTGTGGGGAGGGGACAACACACAAGATTTAAGAGAAATAGAAAACGCAAGACGGACTATGCACAGCTTTTGACCATGTTTTAGTGTTGTGTCATACTTTGACTTCAGGAAGAAATATTACCCAGTACCTTTACCAATTATATAAAATGATGTGACATACTATCTTCAGTAGAAAAAAAAATGGTGAAACACGTATCAAGGGTAGTTTAATGCTATACCAGAGGAAAGTGCATGGATTTATATTATCTCTAGGGTGTTGCTGCTTAAGTCAGTTTACTGGACTGGAGTTTATTGAGATTTTCTTCATAGACCTAAATGTAAACTAAAACGGATCATCCTCAGCTGACAAGGAGCCTGTATGTTTCTCACAGGTAGGATTTTGTTAGCCTGACTCTCGCCAGACCCTTGTAGTTCGTTGAGCTTCACACGAGGTCTGCTTCATAGCGGATACATTTCAGAAGGCGGGGAATTGTAAAAAAAAATCCTTGTATGTGATGGGATAAACCCAGTGGGGGCGGGTCCCAGCTCAAAAGTGGCCAAAATGACGTGCGCTGACATGCTTGCAATACCACCCCGGGCCGATGGGGGTGGACCCGGAATAAGAATTAGCCAATGCTAACATATAGCGTTGGCAGACCTCTTGGCCCAAAGCTTTGTTCCACATGTGTGTCAATGCTGAGGGGGGTGAATTTTTTTGGTCCACTCTAGTTTACTCGCTGTGAATTTTTGAAGTCTCTCGTTCAAATGAATGGAGCTGCGCCGGCTGACGCATTTTTCTTCGGGACCATTTTGAATAGCTCCAGTAGAGCACATGTTTTGGCCCGTTAGTTAGAACGGCGGAGATAGGCGTGACTACGTCCGTTAATATATACAGTCTATGGATAAACCACTGAGTTGCCAAATGCGGGCAAGATATTCCAGTACAAAACCCACGAGAATGCCCAAAATAAACACCCAGAATGGTGTTTTGGCTAAAAAGGTAATGTAATCAACTTGGGCTATCATGACTCTTTTTATTGTTTTTCTGTTTATTTATTACCTAAAAGTCGCTTGGAAAAAAAATATGCGGGAAACAACCCAACCTGGCAACCCTGCTGCGTAGTGTTGTAAACAGGAACACTTAAACTAAAAACACCCAAATCAACATAGAATCATCAACAGCTGGCCTCATATTGCATTAAAAGTGACATCCGTGTCTTAATCATTTGTATTTAAACGTTTTAAATAATTCACTGACTTTATGCCCCGCCATCTTGGAATGCTTTCGCGGCCGGCTGAGACACGCACGATAATGCGGTGCAAACCTGACATAACACCAGTGATCCTGATTGGCCGATTATTTTTTGATCTCCTAAAGGAGTTTGCTATGCACTCGATCGCAGACCCTTGTGTGTGAAGCGAAGCGCCTCTGGTGGAGTATGGCAGAACTACAAGGGTCTGGCAAGAGTCAGGCGAGGATTTTGTGGGGAATTTAATGCCCCTTGTCAGCCTGTACTTTTTCTCTTCTTTTTCCTCATCTGATAGAATGATATATCTCAACAAATGTGAAATTAAAGCTGAAGTATTTTTGTTGTTGTACCTAGGACTAAGATTTACAGTCTATGTCCCTTACCTTGAAAGTGTTTGTCGGTGCGGAGTTTCGACGGATCCAGGAAGAACTCGATAAAAACATACGAGGCGACAATAAGGACCAGGAACACTCCCAACAGGGCCGACACCACACTGTGCAGGAACAGCCTATGAGACCAAAACAAAAACACGATTACAATTTGTTGATCTGGTCTCATGATCTTGGTACAGAGAGCCAGACTGACTTGTAGTTCCGGCTTCCCACGCAGTTGTTGAGCCAGCGGCAATGATGGTCAAAGTTGGCCACACACTTGTTACAGGCACTGCAGTGTTTGGACTTAGGACCCCTGAGAGAGACAGGAGACAGGAGGTATGTCAGTGCAATCGTTGAACACTGACGCCATTGTGAGTGGTCACCAAGAGTGGGATTTAGACTTGTTCCTTGCGGATGCAAGAGGGTCTAACATAAGGACAGTGTTGATGATCCAGGACAATCAACATTCAACATTTATGAACATTTGCCATCTGCCCCTTATGGACCAATAATATGTGTTTTCTATCATTGCATCTCTTGTGTTTGAAATGTTTGATTCACTGATCTGTGTTGGCGATTACAACTGTTGTGTATGGTCCTTCGAGGAAAGTACTGTTGTGATTTTTAATGGCAATAAAATACAATTTATTCTTGTAAAGCCCTAAGTCACAACAGAAGTCCTCTCAGAGGACTTGACAAAACCATTGAAATCACCAACACAGATCAGAGAATCAACAGTTAAAACAAAAAGAGAACACATGTTAAAAAAAAAAAAGTCCATACGTGTTGTGGAATGTTAAAGTGTCCTGGATCATCATCACAGTCCTTCTAGTCGGACACTAACTGTCCAACAGACCCTCCTGCATCGGCAAGGAAAAACTCATAATACAATACAATTGAATTAGTCAATTTGAATATTTAAACCACTCTGACAACTTGGTGCGGAAAAATAAAAAGCATCTGACCTTTAGTTGGAACGCTTTTTTTTTCAAAAAACCCTGACAGTTATATACCAGGGGCTGCACGCGCTACCTGTTCAGTGATATATTTCAATACAATACTGTTGTATTAACTTTGTCTATACATTTTGTAAGACTCAGGCTGTAGAACAAGGACTGGGATGTGCTGGGACAAATTTGATGGCCTGCTATCAATGGTCTCTCTCCATGGGCTGTCTCTCACTGTAGACACCCCTTTGTTTCATAAGTACATGTTGTTTGTCTCAACAGAAAGAGTCTTGTTTGAATAAAAGGAAAAAAATCAGACCACAACGTCGCTGTCTTCATCTACTTTGTAACTCAATCGAAGCCAGAGCAAGTTGGAGCAAAACTTCTTCCATGAGCACTTCCCTATGTGGCTTCATTGAAGGAGTGGCTTAATATATATACAGTCTATGTACATCTATATACAGTCAATGGTTTCTCCCAAAAAGTGAAATGAAGGCGCTCCGTCAATATCTCGGTATGCCATAACAATAGCCATCAAACCAAGTTTGAGTGGGAGTTTTCTGACATGTCTTTTGTATCTCTATCACCGCACACAGAGAACATTCCATGTGAGCCTAAATACAGAAGCTTGTGTGTAGTGTTTTGGTTTGTGGCATAGCAGTTGTTTGCACACAGGAAGCTCACTCCCCCTGGGTAGTGGTAATCATGTGGGCTGAGAGCGCTGCTGCTGGGACACCTGTCTGTGGAGAGCTCTAAACACTGCTGCTATAGAGACAGCAGGAGGAAGGAGGGGGCAGGAGAACGCATTCATGTACGGATCCGCTGATCTATCACTGAGAGTGACTGCACGATCAGCGAGGGAGATGACAACCTTCTCCGTGGGTTTTCCTGTGCTCATAGTCTTCCATGCAGACTTATTCCAGTGCCAATTTACTTTCTGTCTAAAATACAGAGACTGAATAAAACCCTTCAAGGCCAATAGATTTTTCCAGACACGACTACACAAAGGATCTACAGCCTAAGTCCTGGATCTACAGCCTAAGTCCTGGATCTATAGCCTCAGTCCTGGATCTACAGCCTAAGTCCTGGATCTATAGCCTCAGTCCTGGATCTACAGCCTCAGTCCTGGATCTACAGCCTCAGCCCTGGACCTACAGCCTTTCTCTCTCTCAATATGGGCCTCTTTGAGCATATTTTTCCCATTGTTTTTTTTGAGGGGTTCCCTGCCAGTGCAGGAGGGTCTAAGGACAGTGATGATCCAGGATCGGTGTTTGCTATCATTTAATTTCTTGTGTCTTGATTCTCAGATCTGTTGTTGGCGAATCTACAACTTTGTAAAGTTTTCCGAGACAACTGCTGTTATGGTGCGACACAAATACATCAAATTGAATTTAACAGAATACGCTGCTGCTCTTTCCCACACTATTCACAGAACTCTTTGTCAGCTCTAAAGTGTCTGGTCGTTGTTGTGTAGTTTGTTGTGTGTCCTGTACTCACACGTCAACCTGACAGAGGAAGCAGTGGCAGTTCTCGATGACGTGTGCGTGTTTGGAGCGGTCAAATGCAGGCACGGGGCCGCGCTCTGGCCGGTTCCTCACGTTGGTGTCGGCCGGGTCGATGGACACGGCCAGCACATGCACGCACAGGTGGCACACGAACATCACCCCGGTGCACTGACCACAGCTCAGGAACAACAGGGACATGTGGAGCACGCAAAACTAAACGACAAGACCCTACACCAGTGAAAGAGCTAAATATGAACACTGTGTTGTCTTTAAAGTAGTCTTTGTGCTAGAACCCACCATCTCAGAGTTTGGATTCCAAATCACTTAAAAAGGTATAGGAGGATTTTCCCAAATTTTAGGAAAGAACCACCCTCTCCACTTTTTGAACAAAACTGTCTGGTCTTATTGGTTGAGCACGTACCACCAGAATGATTGACAAGTGAGAGGACCAATAGTCTTGATGATCCCCCCGGAAGTGTCCACTGCCACTTCACTTAGTCACTTTTAGCCCAGAGCCTCATGCTGCTAACATGTACAGTAGTATCACATGTTGCTAACATGCAGTAGTGCACTATATCTACTGTATATATCTAAAGTTGTATATACTTTCATTCATACAGTTCTGTATAGGGATGCATTGATTGTGAATTTTTTTATCTTTAGCTTTTATGCAATCGCTGTGCACCGCCTCATGCTTGCTTCTCATTTTCTAGCCTCCTCTTGATATCTCACTGGAACACGTATTGAAAGCTGCATAACGCTGATCTTTTTCTGATACTCTAAAATATTTTCTTTGTTTCTTCTACTGAGGAAAGTGAGCAGACCCCTTTCGGTATCTCTTCACACATGCCTACCATCAACCAATGTCAAGTTTATTTGCCATTGGCCGATGGTAGTTAATAAAGCAAACATCGGCCAATACCGATGTTCAGCCAATGCATCCCTAGTTCTGTTACTTGTAACCTTTTTAAACACAACTCATAATCAGATACAGCAGGAGTAAGCCATCTCTTAGTAACATCAGCGGGTGTTCAACACAATGATGTGATTGTGATGTGGCTGCTGCTGACATGAGCCGCCTGAGTTGACTGAGGAGAGCATAGCAGCTTCAGGATGTTATGATGAGAAGAGACAATCATTTACAAGTAGAGAAGATATACGAACACATCCAGAGCTGCAGGAACAGTCTATGGCGCCTGTGTGACAGACTACCTGACTGCAGCAGAGGCAGCTCCTCTCTATTCCTCTCTAGTACTTAATGATGTGAATCACAGCTCATTTTTGGTCATACGAATAGTACGATATTACATATTCAGGGTTCAAATTACAATCGGAATTGTGCAGTGCAAGCCGGCTTGACTGAATCACGGTTCTGTCTGAGTATTGTTTGTGAGACTGCTGAGACTTTGGCCCCATTGAGTCTGAGTCTGAGCCTTGTGCTTGAGCCTCAGGAGTGTCACACTTTGCCTGAATTAAGAATAAACTTCTCCAATAATGAAGTTATTGTTTCCAACCGCACACGTGTCCCTCAAGTGAACAGCAAAAATAGATAAAGAGATTTTCACATTCATGAAAGATGTGTCTTACCCTCAGAACTCCATGCTGCTTTTAACACTAGAACCCCCAAAGCAGTCAATTTGACGTCTTCTATTTTTGGACTCGTCACTCAGTAAATCGGTGTGTGATTTCTTTCTTTATGTTGTTAATTTCTACGTGATCATTTTAATTAAATTATAAATTATTTTTGAAATGTGAGTAGTTCTACATTTAAAAAGTAGCAATATATGAAAATGTGTCCAAAATTGGTACTGCAATCACCTCAATATTCTGTCGTCCTCTCCCTGACTCAGGTTGTCAGATACGCACCAAATCCAGCTGGGACCATAATAGCTGAATGGACAAGAGTTTTTTCCATAACAATTCTATAACTGACACCTTTTTAACAGAAATTATTATAGGTTGAGACACGACATGTCTGTGTACAATATCACAATGGAGCCCACACAAAGAATTATTTTATCGAGTTGTTTGTCTGTCTCCATACGTTTCACATTGCCATGATAGCCGTGCTAATGTTTGAACATAATTGTTCAGCGTATCAGCATACGCCCCCTCCTCCAGAGGGGAATGGGGGATCAGTTGCCCCCTAGTCATGGCCCTAAGGGGGATATTCCCCCCTCAATTTTTTGTATTCCCTAGTTATCAGACATTTTAGACAGTTTTTTATTTTCATGATTATGAAAATTGAAGATTCACACTGAAGGCATAAAAAAACCATGAATTAACTCATGTGGAATTATGTATGTAAAAAAAAAAGTATGAAACAACTGAAAATAAGTCATATATTCTATAATATAATGCTCTGATTACTGCTTCACACACTATTGGCATTCTCTTGATGAGTTTCAGGAGGTAGTGACCTGAAATGGTCTTCAACAGTCTTGAAGGAGTTCCCAGAGATGCTTAGCACTTTTTGGCCCTTTCGCCTTCACTCTGTGGTCCAGAACCCAAAACCATCTGGATTGGGTTCAGGTCCAGTGACTGTGGAGGCCAGGTCATCTGACCCACCACTCTCCTTATTGGTCAAACAGCCCTTACACAGCCTGGTGTGAATCTACAGTCAATAATCATGAAAAGAAAGGAAGCTCATTGAATGAAAAAGTGTGTCCAAACTTTTGGTCTGTACTGTACATGTAAATGTATACAACTCCAACATCAATAAGAGACAAACATTATTTTAAAGGAGCAATATGTAAAAATCTGGCCAAAAGTGGTGCTGCAGTCACAGTCAATATTTTGTAGTCCTCTCCCACTCTCCCTGACTCACGTTGCCAGATGCACACCAAATCCAGCAGCAAACACAGGGAATTATTTTATCAGTTGTTTGTCTGTCTCCATTCACATTGCCATGAGCCGTGCTAATGTTGAATGAATATTTAGAATACATTTTTAATTTTTATTTGGACATTTGAGATAAAAAAATAAATACAAAATAAATAAAAGTCATGTAATTGTAGATTATGCAAAATAAATAAGCAATTGATGTCCAAAATAGGAGTGGGAAGAATGAATGTTGGAACATATTTCTTCAGCGTATCAACATCAGGGTTTGCTCCAGAGAATATCACCTTTCAATTTTATTTATTCCCTATTAGTCTCACATCAAAAAGAGACTAACATTATTTTAATTGGGGTACATGTGGTCTCAAATGATGTTTTTTACAATTAAGCTATAATCTGAAAAAAAACGTCTTGACCTTCGTCTTTTACCGTTTTTAGAACAATCTGTCATAGAATGTGATAACATGCAATTAAATAAAAAGCACTCTATCAAGAATCAAACCCAGGTTACTGTATTGTGAGTGCAGTGGCTTAACTGCTAGACCACCTGTACGTGCAGTCAAAGCTGCCGTGGATGCATTCAATTCACAGTTTTGCATCACACGAAAACTTTTATCTGCTGTCTCAATTTTTCAAAGGCGTCCCGATATAAATCCTCATTTTAGTCTTTGTTTTTCATTAATGATTTGAGAGTCATAACAAGACTTTTTTTTAGTTCTGTGGCTTTTACCAGTGAGATTAGCCGCGCAGAGTTCTGGCAACCCGGACCCCGCACTTCCTGATTGGCGAAACGGTGAAGGGTAGGACTTGAGAATGAAAACAATAACAACTTTTACGGGTCGTAAAACTAATTTTGATATTCAGATATCTCGGCTGAACTACTGTTATCAGTTAAAGATGTATTCGAAAAGAGCATGATTTAATAACGCCTTTTGAAATATTGGGGCCATTTAATGATGACTTAACATGCAAATATTAAATACTGCTACTTTAATTGGGATGAACCTGGTCTCAAATGATTTTTTCATAATTAAGTTTTCTTAATTCTAATTTTTTTTTTAATTTACCATTCATTCTTTATGGTGAAATTGTCATTATTATTGACTCATTGACAACCAGAGCTTTTCCAGATCAGGGAAGTGCATTTTGCCAGTGTTTTCAGGGGATTTGACATAATTTTGAAGAGCCACAGAATATTTCGTTATTTGACTTTATAAACACAAATGGCCAAATTAAAGTTTAGGTTCTTTACTTTAATCTGCAAAAAAACCAAAAAAACGGTTTGCTTTTACCTTTTACCGTTCTTGTTGGCGAATCTACCAACAATGTTGGCAGATTCTGTCATAGAACAAATCATAGTTTCACCCAAAGCAGTTTGACAAACCAATGTCACTGCGAGTAATGTCTTGTAACAAAACCACTCGACCACTATCCTATACTACGTACGATCGGCCCCAGACAGCTTTTTCATCTGTCATTGAGGAACGTAGCGAGTTTTGCATTAAAGTTTCACTTGTCTACATTTTTCAAAGGCCCCAATAAATATTCTCGTTTTATTCTTCGTTTGATTTGAGAATTATAACAAGACCACTTCACTTTACCCATGAGATTAGCTTGACACAGGGAGTTCTGGCAACCCAGAACACAGACTTTCTGACTGGTGAAACAGTGGAGTGCGAGACATCGAAATGAAAACAACAGGATTTAGGGCTGTAAAACTAATTTGAAAATTCAACTGTCTCGGCTGAACTACTGTTATCAGTTAAAGAAGTAATCAAAAAGAGCATGGTCTATTAATGCCTTTTGGCATCTTATGGCCATTTGGTGACTTGACATGCAAATCTTACATATTGCTACTTTCACTCCCAGAGCAGTCCTGTTGATTCCATTCATTTTGCAAGTGAATGTGGCAATTTTTGGTCGCTTGGCAACAAACTTTCTGTGGCAGTTAAATCCCTTTTTTCAAGGTGCTGGTCCTGAACTGGGTCTGGTTCAGAGCTTTCCACCAGAGAAGAGCTAGTGCTAATTATCATAGCAACATACCGTTTACTTGCAACAGTAAACGGAAGTTATATTCACCAGCAGTCCAAAGGACAGCTCTGGGAGTTCTAGTAGTTTCAGAATTACATCAGCAAGTACAATTCTGTAGGCATAATACAAACAGTCTGCAGAAGGATACGATGTACCCAGCGGGGATCCAGTGTGGAGGCAGCAGTGGCACAAACACCCCGAACCCTGTGATGGCAAAGTAGGCATAGAGCAGCCAGGCCAGCATCTGGAAGGGGTGAGGGGGCCAGCTCCAGCCGTTTGTCCTGGAGCAGAGAGGCACATCAGCTCGACACGCTCCCTCCTCCCCCACCGGAGCCGTCCTGTTCGGGTTCTTACTGCACAGCTCCATTGGCCTGGGCACACACATCCACAGCATTAGAGCTCAGAACATTAAATAATTACAATATTTTGCACAGATGTGGAGTATGAGATGGTCCTCCACAGTAGAATGGGCTGAGTGCTGAGTTAACCAGGCTGTTCTCTCCAGATGCAGAGGTCCTTTCTCAAGCGGTGGGGAAAGCGATGCAGCGTGTGCACACTGCAGCAATGCGGTCACTTTATCAGACTGTTGTGATGAAGAGGGAGTAGTGTCTGCCGTCGGAGCTGCACCAGACTGTTGTCACGAAGAAGGAGCAGAGCTTTGGGTGATGACCGAAAGGACGAGATTGCGGATTCAAGCAGTCTAAATGAGTTTCCTCCGCAGAGTGGCTGGGCCCTCCCTTAGAGGTACGGTGAGAAGCTCAGAGTAGAAACGCTGCTCCTGCACATGGCGAGGAGTCAGTTGAGGTGGCTCGGGCATCTGTTTGGGAGGCCTCCTGGACGCCTCCCAGGGAAAGTGTTCCGGGCATTTCCCACCTAGAGGAGACCAGGGCAAGACCCAGGACACACTGGAGGGACTGTGTCTCTCAGCTGGCCTGGGAACGCATTAGGATTCCCCCAGATGAGCTGGAGGAAGTGTGAGTGGAGAGGGAAGTCTGGGAATCTCTGCTTAGAGTGCTGCCCCCTCAACCCGGCAATGGGATCGGGATAAATGGGTAGAAAATGGATGGGTGGAAGAAACAATTGAAGCACAGGTAGTGTGGATCTAGGACGGAGAATTTAAATGAGAAACTACTAACTCTCCCTTGGTGTAATTGGTGGAATTTATTGTAGTCAACACCATATCTTTACTTGACCTTCTTTTTATAGTGGGTCTCTTGAGATGTTGTGTAAGCATGAGTATAATCAGGAGCATCTCTGTTTGGATGTGTCCTCTCTGTGGGAAAAGCTCCTTGTGCCGCAGTATGAAGCATTAGCACGCACTTGTAATCACCATAATTGGTCTCCCTTAGAGCTCTACGGAACAGAAACACAGGAAAGTCCCACTGCTCTGCTCAGCCTGTGAGGATCCGCCACCATTAGCTAAAATACAGGTCATCGTTTTCCATAGAAGCTGAATTTGAAGTCAGAGTTTGCATTACACGTACCTGAATGATGGATTTATCTTAATAGTAATAATAGTAAGCTGAGAGCGTACTATAATGTAGACCTATGCCAGGGGTGTTCAAACTTTTCAGTACAAGGACCACTTTAGTTCACCAGCCTTTTCCAGGGGCTAATGCCCCGTATTGTAAAACTGGATTTTAGGCTGTTCCGAGCTTTAAATGATGTATGTCCACAATGATTCACATTTGACAGAGCTGAAGCAGAATGTAAATAATTACAATTAACTACATGAGAGTCATATATGTATTTTTGGGCCATGATCACAGAGAGGTTCAGAGCTTTACAATCAGGAATAGCATATTGGCAGATATTGTTGGCTGGATGGCACAGAATGTATGTTTTTGAGTACAATGGCTAATTTTGTGTTAGCAAAGCAGAGGGTCACCGGAAATTACATAGCTGGCCTTAGTTAGGACATGTCTGACCTATGGTTGTAATAAGGCTGGGCACAAAATTGCATAAATTTGATTAATTTAAAACTCGAAAATGTGAAAAATTGAGATGCTCCTTCTGGCATCTGCTTCATGGGGGTCTGTAGTTTAGCCCAATTGTGCAGCGAGTGTATACAACAGAACAGTGTTTTCAAAAAGGCACAGCACCGGCACAATACATTTATAATTTAACAGTTTGGTGACTTTTGTTAAAATCGATTTAAAATCCAAAGGTCCAAATGAGGCAATAACATAATAACGAGATTTGACCATATTACCATATCGCCCAGGCCATGAAAGACACATGTTTGGGTAAACGTAAGCTAAGCATGGAAAAGAGAACTAGCCTGTGTCCACTAGCCCTACTCTACGCTACCAAGATTGGGAGAGTTTCCACCGGTCCTGTTCAACTGGTACCAGGTACTTTCTAGCACCTGCTTGGCCCTGGTTCCATCCAGGTACTGTATCCTAGCAACATACCTACAACAAACCAGTATCCATGGAAATTCCTTGGTAACCATGGCTCCCTAGAGCACTCCGGCCAATCACTGTCCGATAGAACACTGGTTTGAACCAGGGCCAAGTAGCGGTTAAACTGGGCCAGTGGAATTGCTCCAGGTTAGAGTTGAGTAGAACCAAGCTGGGCTGATGGAAACGGGGCAATGGTCTACCGTTTTCTACATTTTAATATTGTGTCTATGCAATCAAGGACATACACACTTCACACATTCCAGATCCATCATTAATGCTACTTCATTACCTGTTTATTGCCAGTTAACAGCAGTGAGGACTGCTTCGACCCTCCTGCCCCGCGCCCTGCTCCATCTCAGCCCGGATTCCAGGCTTCTCAAACGGCGTGGAGTTTTCGCATCGGCGGGGCCCGGAGCTCCAATCCTCTGTCAAGATTTTATCTCGGATCCATTCTGACTGAAAATCCACAGTTTACAAGAGAATGAGAGATATAAAGCCAGGTCAACGAGGCATGCGTTCATCCAGTTTCAGATTAGGGCTCGTTTGTGTGGCTAGCATGCTAATCTCAAAAGGCTATCCTATAGCGTGGATTAAAGCCGGCGCAGAAACTGGCAAACGCATGGAGAAGCAATCGGAGGTCATACATGCAAAGGTAATGTTTAAAGCGACAAATGTGTTAAATATTCATGAGACCCCACGGTACATGGAGCCGAGTGTTAGCAGCCGTAGCTCCTCCAGCCTCCAGCCTCCTCCGCTGCGTGTGCCGTGCGTGCACTGTTGCCCTGGTAACCGCTACCCTCAGTCGGAAAGTCAAGGCATTACCTCCGACTGGATTAAAGGACATGAAACACTTATTATTATTTGAATACATAATATATACTAATTAAACTTGTGTCATGTGTATATCTGTACTTATTTCTAGGTTGTTGTTTTTATATATCAGAGTTTCTCAAACTGTGGGATTTGAGGCGCAAAGTGGGCGGAGCTTCCAGGTTCCGGATGTTAAATTCTCCATAAAAAATTAGAAACGTCTAAATAAGAAGAGTTTGAAGACACCACGATGACTACTGACCACAGCACATTGGCTTTAGTTAGAACATTCTAAAGTACAACTTTATGTGAGGAAAAAGCAGGAAAAACACTTTTTTATGTGATATTTATATGTTTTGTGTAATCATGAGAATTTGAAAAGGTAGATGCAATTAATGACACATTTGTTATAAATTGATTTGGGCTGCGACCTGGAGGTAGTTGTGATTACTGATGGACATCCAGTATTATTGATAATAATAAAAAAATAATAATACATTTCATTTAGGATAAGATACACTTTATTGATCTGATCTCACAATGGAGAAATTTACATTTATTTATAATGCACCTTAAATTTCCACAAAACCTCAAAGTGCTATGTATTAAAATTCAATACAAATACATAAATGTACATCAAATATCAAACATAACATATAGAGTTTAAAGCTCATAAAAGTACAAACATTTATTTTTGTGTAATTTTAAATCACAACAGTTATGTCGAAGGACTTTTGAAAACCGTCAAATTTGCCAACACAGATCAGAGAATAAAATAGTTCAAACACAACAAATGCAATAATAACAAAAACATATTTCAAGATTTACTGGCAGTAAACCCAATTTTGAAACTCAATCATCCCACCTAAACTACTGTTCTCCGTTAAAGAAGTATTCAAAAAGAACATGGTTTATTAATGCCTTTTAGCATATTAGGGCCATTTTATGATGACTTGACATGCAAATCTTACGTCTGATTATACACAAATACATTTAATAGATCTGGCTATTTTTTTTCTTTTTTACAAAACTAATGGTTGTGCACAAATTTTAAGCCTTTCAAATTTTAATTTTAATTAACACTTTGTGTACTTTGCTTATTACTGAATCAAAAATCCCATATGTCTCAAAGCTCAGAAGAAATAAATAAGTAAATAGAATAATAACTAAAATTCCTAAAATATAGAGCATGGTCTGCTTCGATCACAGAGCACACCCAGAGTCGGCGATGATGGACAGAGACCAGAAGATGGCAGCATTTACACACTTAAACTCTGAGCGCCGCCTGCAGAGAAGTTCCAAATGTAAGGCAAGGCAAGGCAAGTTTATTTATATAGCAAAATTCATACACAAGGCAACTCAAAGTGCTGAACAAAACAAGAAAGCATTAAAATCATAAATAATCACAGAACATTAAAAAGAGAGATAAAAATATAAAATCCCTCAGTTTTATGCACAGTTAAACAGAACTGTCTTTAACCTGGTTTTAAACATTGTCAGAGAGGAGGCCTGTCTCACATTTTCAGGAAGATTGTTCCAGATTTTAGCAGCATGAATCTGAAAAGCAGCCTCCCCATGTTTACTTCTGACTCTGGGCACTAACAGGAGTCCAGTCCCTGTGCTCCTCAGAGTCCGGGCCGGTTCATATGGTACTAAAATGTCACTTATATATTTTGGTGCGAGGCCATGGAGAGACTTGTACACAAGCAGAGCTGTTTTAAAGTCTATTCTCTGAGCCACAGGAAGCCAGTGCAAAGACCTGAGAACTGGACTAATGTGGTCGTACTTCCTGGTTCTAGTCAGGACTCGAGCTGCTGCATTTTGAATGTACTGCAGCTGTTTTACAGCCTGTTTGGACAGACCTGTGAGCAGGCCATTGCAGTAGTCTAACCTACTGGAGACAAATGCATGGATAAGAATCTCCAAGTCTGCTTTAGACACTATGTTTTTGATCCTGGCGATGTTTTTTAGGTGGTAAAAAGCTGCTGATGTTACTGATTTGATGTGGCTATTAAAATTTAAGTCTGAGTCCAGTATTACCCCTAGATTTCTGACCTTGTTTGAAGGTTTTAGGGAGAGAGACTGTAGGTGACAGATGACGCTCTCTCTTTGTTTCTGGGGACCAAAGACAATCATTTCAGTTTTGTCTGCGTTTAGCTGAAGAAAGTTGTTTTGCATCCACTCACTGATCTGTTGGATACAGTGAAGGAGTGAGTCCACTGGTCCATGTTCTCCTGCAGTCAGTGAGACATAGATCTGAGTGTCGTCTGCATAGTTGTGATAGGACACTTTGTTTCTGCGTATTAACTGACCTAACGGCAGCATGTATGTACAGGTAAAATAGAGCAGAGATCTGTTTTCCCGCCCTAAATAAGGCTATTCTTCAGTTATATTGTGTGCCCAGTTTACGGCTGTGTTTAAACTCACTTTGTAATTAATTTAATTTAATTAATTTAATTTAAGGAGTTAAAGATAGAACATCAGAATCAGAATAATTTTTATTGCCACTTAAGTGACATGAAGTCACAACTTGGAAATTGCTTTGGCTTGGTGCATCAGTCAGAAAAGAGTGGTAAAGAATAGAGAATAGAGTAAGGCATCATAAGAATAATAAAAATTAGCATACACTCCTACGGTATAGCATTTAAAATAGAATTATTACAATTACAATTACAGTCACTATGTAAACTATACAAGTGCACATGGTGCACACAATATACACTAGGCAGTGTAATAGGGTGACAAGCAGTAAAGTGACGTTATGATGGCATTAAAGTGACTTAATAAGGGACAGTAAAGTGACATTAGGGGGCCGTAAGATGACTTCTAGAGAGCTGGGGGACAGCTGGGGGACAGCGTCCAAGAGTCCAACAGCAGAGGGGAAGAAACTGTTCTTGTGGCGGGAGGTTCTAGTCCTGATGGACCGCAGCCTCCTGCCTGAGGGAGTGTTTGGTATAGTCCATGTGCAGGGTGAGAGGGGTCAGCTGTGATACAACCAGCCCGGCCTCGAGCTCGGGTGACGTACAGGTCCTGTAGCGATGGGAGGCTGCGGTCCCTGACTGTGGCTCCAGCGAACGACACAGTGATGGAGGAGGTGAGGATGGACTCGATGACGGCCGTGTAGAACTAAGCCATGGCAGCTTGGCTTTCCTGAGCTGCCGCAGGAAGTACATCCTCTGCTGGGCCTTCTTGATGAGGGAGCTGATGGTCGGCTCCCACTTGAGGTCCTGGGTGATGGTGGTGCCAAGAAAACGAAATGACTCCACAGAGGTGATGGGGGAGTCCATCAGGGAGGGCGGCGGAGGGAGGACTATGCTCTTTCTGAGGTCCATAATCATCTCCACTGTCTTCTGGGCGTTCAGCTCCAGGTTGTTGCCACTGCACCAGGACACCAGCCGGTCCACCTCCCTCCTGTAGGCGGACTCATTGTTGTTGGAGATGAGTCCAATGAGGGTGGTGTCGTCTGCGAACTTGAGCAGCTTCACGGAGTCGTGGCTGGAAGTGCAGTGGTTGGTGTACAGGGAGAAGAGCAGGGGAGAAACATCTTACATTTCAAAAATAGAAAATAATTTAATAAACGTAGCGAAATGGAAATAAACTACATAAAGAATCAGAAAAAGTTATGAAGACCACACATTTCATGAGCTGATTAAACTTGATTAAACTTCTCTGGGAGTGTAAGAGGTGCACTACGCAAAAAATAAGTATTTTCCAACCCTGAAGCAGCCTTACAGCTGCACTGGTCAAAGGTCATTTTTTATTTCTGAAGCGCTGGTCTTTTCCCGCTCGGCCTCTGAGTGAGGGGCTTCGTGCTCAGGTTAGTCATAATTTCCCATAATGCAATACGATCAAGGCTTGAACCTGGGACTCCTGACCGTAAACCGCTCCCTGCCTGTGGTTACTGGGCACAAGAACAAAAGAAGTGTTTCTCAAAAGGCTGCAGGATGTAAAGACCTCCTGCAGAGATCTTAAACAGGACATTTAGAACACATTTTCTTCTGCTTGATCCTTTGCCGGATCACATGGGCAGCAGTCTGCTGAGCAGAGACGCCCTGACTTGCCTCTCCACAGACTTCCTGCAGCTCATCTGGGGGAATCTTGATCCCAGTCCAGCTGAGAGACACAGTCCCTTCAGTGTGTCCTGGGTCTTCTCCTGATCTCCTCCAGTGGGACATGCCCAGAACACCAGGCATCCAGGAGGCCTCCCAAACAGATGCCCAAACCACCTCAACTGGCTCCTCTTCACATGGAGAAGCAGCGGCTCTACTCAGAGCTCCTCCTGTGTGACTGCGCTCCTCACTCAATCTCTCAGGCAGCACTGAGCCACTCTGCAGAGGAAACTCATGTGGAGCGCTTGTATCTGCAATTTCATCCTTTCGGTCATCACCCAAAGCCTATGACCAAAATACAAGTCAGACATAGTTATTCTTTTTAACATAGACTGTTATTATATAGATTTTAGCATGTAAAAAAAAGCTGAAAAAAACAATCTATTTAAAAAAATAATAGTATTTCCTTTTGTAAATTAAATACAACACGTGGTAAACCGGTTACTGAAACTGGAGGCAACAACTTTGTTTATTAACCAATAGATTCTCATAAAAACTCATAATACACAGAATCCTGTCTTTGAAGCTGGGCCCTTT